AGTTTAATCCTACGTGGCACATAAAAACTGCTAGAATACGCCAAGATTCATGCAGAATTGATTGGATGAGAATTCATGTGTGTGGACGAGTTGCCAGACACCCACACATATGGGCGTTAGTATTTTCGAAAAATTAAGATGGCTCCATGGAGCAACACTTCAAACATTCCTTGTCCGGAACACATGTCTGAAGATTTTCCACGAAAGCACACATGTGAAGCGATGGGGGTGAGAATCAGGAGAAGGGCACTCTTCAGGCCGAGCCAATGCGTTAGGTACGTAGCTACAGTGTTACGCACTACTTGTAAAAGCAAACCAAACTGGACCGTGCGAGTCCACGGCGAATCCTTTTCGACGAAGCTTCTACGTGGAAATTTAGACCATCAAACAAAGATTAGAACCTAAAACGCTACTGTTCCAAAAGAATTTTCTTTCGGACCCAAGATTCTTCCACAAGTGTTCTTTTGCTAAAGAGGGACAGAGCGACTCTAGACCGTGTAGGAGTCCAGAGAAACTTCTTCACTTCCCTCTATAGTCTAGGGTCTAAAATTCAGAAAACCGAACACACCCAAGGTGCCATGCATCCATCTTCCCGGGATATTGTTTGAACGCTTGCATGGAACAAGAGGATGAGCATGCATATGCGTCGGGGGCGACCAGATGTCACCGATTCACCGTCGACTTGGAAGCAGTGGCAACACCACACGTGGAAATAATGAGTTTCGACGTGCGATTTTAGTTTCTCTCCCGTGTGATTGGGGAAGCTGTTCTTGTCAGCAGGCCCAAAACGGCAGGAGACCGTCGACCGTCGATCCAGTCAAAGGTCTCGCCCCATGTGCAGCTCATCAGTTACCGTCTAACACTTTCACCATTCTTTTTTGCAAGATATTGAAGAGAGAGTCAAATAAAGTTGCTAGGAAATCCAATTACTAATTTCATATATTCTTGCCAAATAATTGGTCAAGAGGGAGTGAAGATTTCTTGACCATGAAATTGGCAAGCCAATTCTTCCAAACATTTAATACTAGCAGTGAGAAGTATCATATATTAATTAGTATCGTGCATATGATAGTATGAAGTTATCTTCATAATGCATAATGTCATAAGGTTGGTAGTATTATACATGACTTCATTTTATTGTCATGTGTGACACGTAGTAGCACATCATTTAATATGATATTATAATATTATATCTTATTTTTCTACATTTAACTGTCTGACACCCCATATAAACTGCTTACTTGCATATGCATGATATTTCATATGATACTCTCACTATAGACAGTTATTTTTTCTCAAGAAACTTCCAATCTATTCATTCTCAATCATGGCAGTATAAAGAACATCAAAGATAATAAAAAATTATAACCAGGTTCATGGACCACCTAACGACGACTATTTCCCCGGGCCAACGAAGACGACGCCTTTGGGCATCGTTACCTTGTCGAAGTTTCATCAATGCCGTTCTCGCCAACCTGTCCGCTGCTTCGGGGGAAACCCTATGTCAAAGTGATCTCAGATCTGACGATGGCGTCAATGGTGTCGTTTTTCTCTCCTAAAGCTACATTGTCTAGGTGGACCAATGGGTGATGGTAGGTTCGTGCTGCGGCGGCCGATTCCTTGTCTCACCAGTGCCCTGTCTTGGGTGGTTGGGGCATCGTGGCGGAGCGTGGTGACATGTAGTGCCGATTTTACGTTGAGACATCAAGTTACGAAGATGGTGCGTGGTAATTCGCAGGTCATAACCACGACCTTGGCAGGACTGTGACAACTCGTGGTGTATTATTGTCTCAGGTGCCCAAATTTGCCATTTAGAGACATTAGCGATGAAAGCGGGTGATTGTCGGATTATCTTCAAGGTGGGATTTTGGCGGTGGTGTTTCCTCTCGTCATGTGACCAATGGCTCCATGATAAGTTATTTGTTTGGTTTTCTTAGCATGACGTTATTTTATTGGTGTGTGTATGGTTTACAGCTCGCGTGGATCTCACATCTAGACCATATGCGCTCACGTCATTTTTGTCCCCCACCCCCACCCCCCGAGGCATAGTGTTGATCTTCTATGGTTTCGCGATTTGTCGGCGGTCTTTTGTGTGTGTGTTGATGTTGGTTGTGTGCATCATAACTATATCGATGATTGGGTGTATGATCATGGTGTTTTGTATTCTCTTGATGTTTTATTTTGAGTCGAAAAAACACAATTTTCAGATAATGGGATGAGGAGATGAGAAAAGTAAGGTAAGACCTGGAACTCGTGTATTTTTTTAAGGAAGAGATAAATTATTATATTTAAAAACAAACGTATGAAAATGCAGGTTTAATAAAACAAGCATAACTAACATACAAAACTATATCTGCAAAACGCACACATCAGTCACTACATGGGACATCAAGACGAAATTATGCGATTTTTTATTGTTTTAGGATATCAGAGTGAAGCTTGTTTTTTCTTTCGAAAAAGCCAGCTTCCTCAGTTGCTCGTCCCTCAAACCACCTTCTCGCGTGATGTATTACATAGGATCCAACGACTTGGCACATTTATCGGTGATTGTACAACATATCCTAACTCATGTCTATGTTTAAATTTGCTTGTCCAACTGCTAATCGCGGCCGCAGTGCGAGGACACAGGGCGTCCACACAGGCCCTGGGTTCCCGGAGAAGGACTCCTTGGGGAATGTCGCGCCGAGCTGGGGCGGGATCTGGCCGTCGAGCCGGTTCTCAGAGAGGTCGAGCGACTTGAGCCGCTCCAGCCGCGAGAGAGACGCGGGGATCTGGCCGGAGAAGTTGTTGTGGCTGAGCTTGAGGGAGTTGAGGTAGCGGCAGTTGGCGAGCTCGGAGGGGAGCGGCCCGGAGAAGCGGTTGCCGGAGAGGTCGAGGACGACGAGGAAGGGGAGCCAGTCGCAGAGCGCGGGCGGGATCGGCCCCTCGAGCGCGTTCTTGGAGAGGTCGAGCGTGTTGGTGGACCGGCAGTATTTGAGCGCGGAGGGGACGGTGCCCTGGAGGCCGAAGCCGGCGAGCGAGAGCCCGAGGACGCGCGACTCCTGCGGGTTCCAGCAGGTGATTCCGGGGAAGTCGCAGACGGCGCCCGCCGAGGTGTTGCCGAAGGTCCACGCCGAGAGGCGGCCGTCGGGGTCCGCGAGGGCGCTCTTGACGCCGCGTAGGCACCGCACGTCGTCCTCCTGGGTCTCCGACGCCGGGCCCTGTGTGGCTAGCGCTTGGGGGAGGGCTAGAGCCAGGAGGAGGAGAAGCAAGGGAGACATGGCGGACTGGTGTGTTTTGGCGTCGCGCGGGAGAGAAGTGACGACGAAGGTGGATCGGGGAGATTTGAAGCGACGAACAGCTGAAATGCTGAATAGTACTCCCTCCTTTTCATTTCTTTTTTTGGAAAAAAAAAAGACTTGTTCTATCGGGTCAGCGGTCATTGGTCTGGGTCAGGGGTTTCATTATACATTTCATTTGACGAAACAACTTTGTGTGGATTTCATTAATATTTTATTTGGCGAAACAACATCATGATAGTCCCTCCGTCTCATAATATCCTATAATATAGCGGAAATTGGCAATGACTCCTAGTCAGACCCTCTACTTCATACTCAAACGCCTGAAATATTCGTCCAGTCGTTTGATCAGTGCTCGGTCAAAAAATATTGACCCAATAGGACCTTCACTTTCTTCCTAAATGTTCGGACTGATCGACATATCTTAAACATGTCTTAAATCTCAAATCTGGGGCAATATGAGACTGCCCGGTCACAAGCCGCCGGCCTCGCGGGCGTCGCTGGCGTGCCGCCGCAGGCCGTCATGGTCGTGCGCGTAGCTGTGCTGGCCGTGTGTGGCTTGCGGGCGCGTGTAGCGTGCTAGCCGTGCGCGGAGCCGGACTGGCCGCGGGTGGCGTGCTGGCCGTGCGTGGAGCCGGGCTCGCTGTGCACGCAGCGAGCTAGCACTTGTGGCATGATGGTCTCGCCCAGTCTTCGCCGCCGCGCGCCGCCGCACGCGTGCGTGCGTGTGTGCTGACCTCGAGCTGGTCGCCGCGTGTGTGCTTGGCCGAGCGTTGCCGCGTGTGTTGGCCAGTGCCGCTCGCGCCCGTGGCCGGGGCAGCTCGTGCCCGTGGTGCGTTCAGCGACGGGTGGCTTGCTGGCTAGTGCGCTTGATGGTTGTGTGTACGCTGCAGGTTTTTGCATGCCATTGCTTGTAATCAATCAAAGGATTTGATCAGGGCCGTCTCCAAGATTTTGGGGCCCCGGGGCGAATTGTAATATTGAACAGTAAAATTTCAAAAAATCCATATAACTACATAATTGATATACCTACAACATATAACATCACTTAATTATATAACTTTTCTCAAAGAGAAAACCTAATTGTATAACTTCTTCTAACTAGAGCCTTACAGGAACTTGCCAATTAGGTATATATCTTTCTACAGCTAATTGTTAGATAAAAAAATCCAGTTCATTTTGAGGGGACAAAGATAATGGCACCTAGACTCTTTAATCGGACTGACAGTTGTCTATCAAAGAATAAAATTTCTCTTTTACGATTAGACTATGTTAATTAAACAAAGAAAGAAAACACATTTTTCCCTCCCAGGCATAAACTCAAACACATATGAGGCACACAGGATGCACATATGTCTTACTGAATCTGTAAGGATATGATTAGTTAGAACCACCTCATTACACTTGGAAATTAACAAAAAAATCAATCGACAGCAGGAACAACCCCTTGTTTCTCGGACCCTAATTGCCTTCATATATCAGTGCGCAAATGATTCTCACATGCATGGAAGAACAGGTCGGCCAATTACTACTAGTTCTAGGTTGGAGGAGCCAAACATATCAAAAGAAGAGACAGGTACCAGGAAAGGATCGAGGAAGTCGGACCGTACAAGATCGAGCAGACTATGCGATAGATGAACAGGGCAATAGGCCATCGGCAGACTGGCGGAGGAAGACGGTCGACAATTCGGCGAACACCAAACCAGCGACACATGAGCAGGCCTGCACACCGACGGACGTTCCTTCTACTGATTGGGCTGAGCCGCTGACACAGATTCAGCTAGATTTATTTTGTATATTGACAAGAAAGATTGGGCTGGACTTGGAATACATTTGGGGGCCCCAAAATTTTGGGGGCCCTGTGCGGGCGCCCACCTTGGCCCTCCTTGTCAACGGGCCTGGATTTGATCCAACTTCACTGCTGCTGGTGCGCAAGGTAGCAAGGAGTCGACATGGAGGACACTTATAAGAGCATCTCCAGCCGCGCCCTCAACAGGTCTTTCAGAGTGATTTTTTTTGCGCCGACGCCGAAAAAACCCCAATCGCGTTCTCAAAACGCCAAATCTGCCGGCTCGGCCCGTTTTTGGGTCCGACGATCCCAGGCCGAACCCAGCGTATTGGGAGCGCTCGGGGGCTCCGGCGGAAAAGAAAAACACGCCTGGGCCACACTGTTAGGCGAAAAGTCAAGACAATCGTTCAAATTCTTTCCCCACCCCCGCACGCTCGGCCGCCACCCTGCCTATCCCGGCGCGCCCACCGCCCACCACCGCTAGATATGCCATTCCCCACCGGATAAGAGAGAAAGTTTTGCCGCGGTAACCTCTCCACCACCTTCCTGGGCGAGTTTTCCGGCGCTCCGGCCACACAGGGCGGGATACCGGCAGCTGTGCGCCCACCACGCCCGCCAGGTGTTCGGCGATTTGTCTGCTCGGTGATGGACTCGGACGACGAGGAGGCGCTCGCGGTGCTGCTGAAGGAGGAAGTCGATGCGATGTCCAGGACGAGGAGTATCTCATGGTCCTCGCCGCCCTGGCTGGCCTGCTCGCGAGCAATCAAAAGTCGCGGCGAGGTGGCTCGGCGCCGAGGCGGCTGAAAGCAAAGAACCAGGATCGTCTGAAAGGCTATTGCATGCTCTACTCCGACTACTTCGCCAACACTCCACTGCACGGCGACAAAGTATTTCGGCGCCGTTATCGGATGGGCCGAAAGCTTTTCCTCGGGATTGTGAATTTCATCTGGGAGAGTTCGACAGCTACTTCAAGTGCAAAAAGGATTGTACCGGCAAATTTGGATTCACCTCAATCCAGAAGTGCACGACAGCTATGAGGATGCTTGCATACGGAGCTCCCGGTGATTCACTCGACGACTATGGGCGCATGGCTGAGTCCACGACCATTGAGTGTTTCTACAAGTTCTGCAGGGGCAGTGGTGGTAGTGTTTGGACCGCAATACTTGCGATCACCCAGTGCTGAAGATGCTGCTCGGATCCTAGCACAGAATACAGCAAGAGGATTTCCTAGGATGTTTTGAAGCAATGGCGGAGCTAGGGAGAAAGTTCAGGGGGAGCAAATGATAAAACATGCAGACTTGAGGGGGCCAAATACTAAATTTATCCTCATCTAAACCCTCTAAAAAAATTCCTTCACAGTTTTTGCCAAGGTTAGGGGGCCACAGCGACCCCAGGACAACACATAGCTCCGCCACTGCTTGGAAGCATCGACTGCATGCATTGGAAATGGAAGAATTGTCCATTTGCTTGATAGGGGATGTACAGAGGCGCCAAAGGCGGTTGCAGTGTGGTACTTGAGACAGTGACCACACAGGACCTCTGGATTTGGCACTCCTTCTTTGGTATGCTAGGAACTCACAATGACATCAATGTGCTGCAGTGCTTCCCTGTCTTTGCCAAGCTTGTTGAAGGTCATTCTCCTCCGGTGAACTTCGAGGTCAACGGGCGGCACTACAACAAGGGATACTACCTAGCTGATGGCATCTATCCGAGATGGTCTACATTTGTGAAGACTATCTCAAACCCTGTGCCAGGAGGCAAGAACTCCCACTTTGCGAAGGTTTAGGAGGCTTGCAAGAAGGATGTCGAGCGGACATTTGGTGTGCTCCAATCTTTATTTGCTGTTGTCCGGTACCCCGCTCAGACCTGGTCAAAAGATCAAATGTGGGAGATCATGACTTGTTGTGTCATCTTGCACAACATGATCATTGAGAGCGAGCAGAAAGAGCCAGTGTTTGACACTGAACCATATTACAGGCAGGGTCCTCTTGCGCAAGTTGATCACCAGCTACTGGCAACCTGGACAGCCTTCCTCAATATGCATCAGGAGATCCGAGGCCCACAGGTGCATCAACAACTGCAGCAGGATCTGGTGGAGCACCTATGAAGGCTCCAGGGCAACGCCTAGCTCGAAGTGTGATGAAATATGAGTTTTTATTTGTTGAACTATTTGTAGTTAAACTATTTGATTTCTATTTATTTTCTTTGGTGAATTATGTGATAAAAATAGCTTCTGATGAATTTGCGCCGAATCACGGTGAATATGGGCCGATTAGCGCCGACAGCGGGTCGATTTTTCACCGAAAGTGGGCTGAAAAGCGGGCACATTAGCGCAAAAAATGGGCCGATATTGGTGCTTGGGGGCGACGTGGGGGCGGCGGCTGGGAACCCAATAGCCCACAGAGCCGATTTTAGTGTCGGCTCGCCCCCAGGCAGTGATTTTTGAGCCCCCTGGGGGGGCCAACGACTGGAGATGCTCTAAGCTATTTGTTGAATGTCTGGCAAGTGAGGAGGAGGATTATGAGGGGTGTGGATAAATGAGAGGAAATATAAGGGGTTAAAATGTTAGGAAACGTAGTAATTTCAAAAAAATCCTACGCACACGCAAGATCATGGTGATGCATAGCAACGAGAGGGAAGAGTGTTGTCTACATACCCTCGTAGACCGTAAGCGAAAGCGTTATGAAAATATGGTTGATGTAGTCGTACGTCTTCATGATCGACCGATCCTAGCACCGAAGGTACGACACCTCCGTGATCTGCACACGTTCGGCTGGTGACGTCCCACGAACTCACGATCCAGTAGAGTGTCGGGGAAGAGCTTCATCATCATGATGGCGTGATGACGGTGATGATGATGCTACCGGAACAGGGCTTCGCCTAAGCACTGTTACGATATGTCCGAGGTGGATTATGGTGGAGGGGGGCACCGCACATGGCTAAAAGATCAATGATCAACTTGTGTGTCTATGGGGTGCCCCCCTCCCCCGTATATGAAGGAGTGGAGGAGGGGAAGGGGGCCGGCCTCCTAGGCGCGCCCCATGGGGAGTCCTACTCCCACCGGGAGTAGGATCCCCCCCCCCCTTCCCTAGTTGGATTAGGAGAGAAGGAAGGGGGGGGGGAAGGAGGAAGGAAAGGGGGGCCGGCCCCCCTCCCAATTTGGATTGGGCTTGGGGGGCGCCCCCTCCTTTGC